CCATAAAGAAACAGATGGAAAAATGTAAGTACCTAAAAAACGAAAACATGACACAAAGTAGAAGACCAACAACAATCTGGGAAGAAATATCAGCAACATATAACACAAAATGTTACTATGCACAATATGAAAAACCCTACAACGAGTGAACAATCCAGAAGAAAACTCAGCCATGCTATAAAGTCAAGTGATTTAAGAATATAAATAGCATATGCAGACATGCTTAATCACAATATTTTTTAAGTTAAAATGAAACTCATTTTCACTTATCAGATTGACAAAAATTAAAGACTGACAATGCCCAGAGCAGGAGAAGACATTGGGAAACGAGCCTTCTCGTACTGTCAGTGGAACCCAAGAGTCTTCAAAAACAAGGCAATCTGGCCTAGTACCTAACAAAATTTAAAATGTGCGCACTCGATGACCACCTCCAGAAATCTATTTTATACAAATACTACCAAGAGTGCATTAAGACACGTGTCGGGGGCTGGCCCTGTGGCTTAGCGGTTAAGTGCGCGCGCTTCGCTGCTGGCGGCCCGGGGTTCCAATCCCGGGCACGCACTGACCCACCGCTTCTCCGTCCATGCTGAGGCCGCGTCCCACATACAGCAACTAGAAGGCTACGCAGCTATGACATACAACTATCTACTGGGGCTTTGGGGGAAAAATTAAATAAATAAAAAATTAAAAAAAAAAAAAAAAGACACGTGTGGGAATGTTCACTGCAGTGTTATCTGTAACAGCAAAAACTGGAAGCGTGAAAATGCTGATCAGTAGGGGAACGAGCCACGGTATATCCATACTGTGTAATACCGAACAGCTGCTAAAAGCAATGAGGTAAATGTCTGTGGAGTGAGACTCAGAAATGTTCACAATACAAGGCGAGTTTTTTAAAAAGGCAAACTGCAAATAAATATGTACCTTATGATCCCTTTTCTTGGTTAAAAAAAGCACCCAATTATTAAAAATAACATCCCATTATTTATCACGTGCAGGCATTATTCTAAGCATTTTACAAATATGACCTCATGGTAACAACCCTAGGAGGCAGGCACGCTTCAGAGACGGGGAAGCGGAGGCAGAGATGGATGTGAGAGCCCTCGCCCACCTCACACAGCAACAGCCTGGCTGGATTACAACCTGGCAGTAGGGCTCTGGTCTCCCTCTGACACCCACTCTGCTGCTGAATCACGTCTGTGACCATGCACACGGGTGGAGCCTGAGGTGGGGGTGCAGGGGTGGGGAGGGGGCATCCACTCTACGCCAATAAGAAGTACTTAATTTCAGGAAAATTAAATTGGAGTGAACAAGGGAGCGAGTCTTAGGATGTATGAAGTCAACCATTGTATAAGAACAGGAAAGGCCTAGAAGGATATAAACCTGTCCGTTAAAAGTTATTAATTGGTGGGGCCAGCGCCATGGCTTAGCGGTTAAGTGCGCCTGCTCGGCTACTGGCGGCCCGGGTTGGGATCCCGGGCGTGCACCGACGCACCGCTTCTCTGGCCATGCTGAGGCGGTGTCCCACATACAGCAACTAGAAGGATGTGCAACTATGACATACAGCTATCTACTGGGGCTTTGCGGGGGAAAAAGGAGGAGGATTGGCAATAGATGTTAGCTCAGAGCCAGTCTTCCTCAGCAAAAAGAGGAGGATTAGCACAGATGTTAGCTCAGGGCTGATCTTCCTCACACACACAAAAATAAATAAATAAAATAAAATAAAAAGGGGTAATTAGGAAAGCTTTTATCTTGCCAAAAATAACAAAAATAAAAACAGGTGCACACTGACAGACGCAACCACATGAAGGAATCTCGAAGACACTACGTTGAGTGGACACAGAAGCACATGGTCCAGAGTTCCATCTATAGAAGTTTAAGAGCAGGCGAAAGTGGATGACGTGAGGGAAAGGAGTTGCCGCCCTCCGGGGGTGCTGGCCGAGGAGAGGCCGGGCAGCCTTGGACTCGGGCATGTTCTCATCTTGATCTGGGTGATGGCTGCACAGGCACGTATGTGAAAATTCACCGAGCCACACAATTAAATTAGTGCGCTTAATGCACTGCGTGTGTGTGGGTCTACATTACAGGTCAACAAAATTTTTTAACAGTACCAAAAATGTTTCTGAGGAATATTTAATGATGTGATAACAGGCCTTAAATATAATGTTAATTCAAAAAAGGTAGAATTTTACACTGATAGGGAATATACTCATTCTTCTGATTTAGAATAAGAAGTAGGAGGAGGGAAAAGGATTAAAGAAAATACAGCAAAATGGTAACTTGGGGGGGCAGGATTTTCTTTATACTTCACTGTATTTTCAAAATTCTCTACAGTTACCAGATAAATAAATGAATTATATATATATTTTTTTAATCCAGAAAAAGTACCAATTAGATACGGGGTTTGAGGACACAGAAAAAATAGAAGTCTGCAAATTTAATTACAAGAACCTTTAAACATTTAGAATACAACAATGTTGGTACAAACTTCAGTGAGTGACTGAATACAAAGGGCCAGGTTAACACCCAACAGTGTGCAAACTCAGCCTGTTTATTTTACAAAGTACAAGATATCCAGAAAGGGGAGGGGAAAAACAACCCTAGAAATCCTTAGGAAGCCAGAGCAAGCATTGTGCTGGGGGTTCAGAGACAGGAAATGAGAAGGCTGCACGTTCTCTCACCGATAACATAGAAGGGCTGAAACCTGCTTAAAACCCTGAAGGCTCAGCTTTCGAGGCAGCTCTGCTCTGGGGGTTCTGATCCTAAAGATTTTAAAAATCCATGAAAGGCAGTAAAATTTAATAAGATAATGAATGTCTAGACCCACCCTAATGCGTAGGGAGGAGTACACTAATGCTCAGTTGCTAATAATTTTTCCTTTAGTTTTTCTTCCCCCCCAAACTATCCATCACTAGCTATGTGAGGAGTACCTTGTCTTGGTTCTCCACAATTAGAATTCCAAGTTTAATCCTCACTTAGCACAAGTAATTAACTCTAGACTCTCTTCTATTATTTTAAGTGGAAATTATTTTTATGATATTAATTTCTAATGACCAAAAGGAAGAAAAATCGTGAATCCACTCCACTGCCAGGCCCTGCAGATGCCGTGTCCACATCTCCACCTGGGCAGTGACTGACCGCGAGGACACTCTGCACCAGGCTGTGGACGTAACTGAGGAAGGAGAACGTGGTGCTGAGCTCAGCAAAGCAAAGCTGCACGGGTGAGGGGCGAACCGAAGGGAAAGTAAAACGCCAGTGGCCAAAACCGCCTCCAACAGCTGACCTCAAACAGCCTTTCTTAGGTGTTTCCATTGGGGAAATGAAGGGAAAAAGAAACAAGGAATTTGCAAGTGATTGAGAGTCGCATAAAACAGCATCCTGCTCAAAATCACACGTCTGCTATTCGACAGAGGACTCTTTAGTTAAGTTTCATATGACGAAACATTTATTACTACAGAGAAACTATGAGGCACACGTGAAACAGCCTGCAGGCCGGCTATCCGACTCCCAGGGACTCAGCGGGGAGGAGGCAGGATCAACAGGAGGCGTTCCTTTTTAAACGCGGAGTCCTCGAAGCTTCATCACCACCACCAGCACCTCCATGAGCTATTTTGGCTATCTTCTGTCAAATTATCAAGAGCACCCAGAACTGAGTAAATCCCACGGCAGTAAAATCAGATGAGAGGCCAAGGTTCACGGGGACTCGGATACCACTGGCACCGGCCTCTCCTGAGTCAGTCTTTCTTTAGGCTCTCGAAACCTTAAGTAAACAAACCCAACAGCCAGTGAAAACGGACACACCCAGAAACTCTCAGCGAAACACTGACTTCACAGTTCACAACAGGCTGTCCTAGTCCACCTACAGCTGGCCTCGCCCGGAGCTCAAGGTGGAAAGAAAACACTCCCGAACACCCCCACGCCGGAGGAGGAGGAAAAGAACCAGCCAGCTTCAAGGGAGGGCAGGACAGGAACCGCAGTCTCAGTGTCACACACACCACCTTCCCATTGTCCCAAGACTGCTGCTGTTTTTGCTCCTTAACTAACTACAAAAAGAATCCATCGACATGTCCAGATTTCTTCAAAAATCAGGCATTTCTGAAACTAAAGGAGCCTTCAACGTGACCAATGTCTTTACTCCGACCTGACCAGCAGGACTGCCCTCAGCCCACTCCACTCCACTCCCACTGGCCAAACAAACCTCCCAGCAACCAGTGTTTGGATTCTCAACTAACATTCCTGGCACGAAATCAGTCTGCTCAAAGAAACCTATGACGGCAGCTTCCGTCGCTGCTCCCGGTAGCCTCCCGACAGGAGTTCCGAGCAACAGTCTCCCTCCCAACATCTCTACAGACAGGCCAGGCATCGTCACACGAGTGGGACGATATTTTGGAGAGAGGGACTTGCAGGGTTTTCAGCAAATCACATCATAGAGGAAGCCACCTTCTGCTAGGATCAACAGTACACACAAACAAGGAAACTGCTCTCATCTCTCTGCCTAATGAGGCAGAGTACCTTTCATTAACTACTTTAATGAAAGTAGTTCACAGGTAAATGTAAGTGCAGAATTAGTCACTGTGATTTGCCAGGCTGTTATCCAGGTAAAAAGTTGAAAGGTCTCCCACCTGCTACCTACCACCCCAACACACCCTGCCAATCCTGCCCCAAGCCGGCCAGCACCCTGGGCGCCGGGCTTCCCTCCAAATCCACAAACAGGAAAATAAGGGGGGAGGGGTGTTTCTGTTTTCAAAGGCCAAGTTCCTTTTCCACATGATTCCTTTAGAAGCCACTTATTTTCTGTGCCTAGATCCACTTCTTTTTAACTTGTAGTGAACCAATTTCCACTCATCCCACCTTCTGGGTAAAGCCCAAGGCCGGAACTTTTGCACCATACACAGAAAATAACTCTAAAAACAAGCTTCACGAAGCACTAAAACTCAAGTTTAGAGACAGAAACCTGGGCTTTACTAAAAGATTGGAAGTCTGCTGATTTCTTTAACACTTACCCACTCTTCAACATTGGGGGGCTGCTCATCATATACACGCTCCTTGTCCCACAAAATGTTCGATTTGTCATACCGGTCCATCTTTCTTCGAGTTTTCACAGCAAAGAAAATCATTAAAGCAAAAGCCACAATAACCATGAACCCCAGTATAATGGCAATGGCCTAAAAAGAGATTAAAGATAGTGACATAATTAGACCTTATTGCTGACTTTGTCCCAATCCACCCTCCACAAATACCCAAAGCCCTACTAAATACCTGTGATTTAACTGATATAACGCTGATACAAATGGTTACATTTTAGAAATATAAACCCCAGCCCATCCCCATTAGGCTAAGGCTAGCAAAACACACACACACACCTCGATTCAATCCTCAGAATGTGTTTGTTAATGCCAGGTACTGTCATCACCCCCATTTCAGAATCACAGAAAACTATTCCAAAGCTTGAGCACCGAGGGGTTGTATTTTTATACCCTTATGAGAATGACCAGTAAACTGACTCAATTGTTGGCATACTTCTATAGGGCCTGAAAAACATTATTCTCAGAAGTAGCTTTAAATACCCACTCATGTTTATAATCTTGTTCATAACACCTGCTTGGCAAGTCTTTTTACTGAATGTAAATTTCGGCCCAGAGAGGACCTGCCTTACCACAAATTACACAGACATGATCTAACCAAGCCATAAACCAGAGAGAATGCACTCATGGCTCATTTAGTCAGGCAAGTGTCTGTTTTTGGAGTCTCTTGTGTACTTACTAGAAAGGGCCCTACCCCTGGCGGTCCTCCCATGTCTGAGAGGGATGTTGAGTGGGACGCTGGTCCCGGGTACCAGCTGGGGTTGAGGCAGGTACCAGGCCTCTGCCCTGACGTCCGCTAATAGGTCACACGAAGCTCTCTGCAGCTGTCTAACAGCGATATTCTTTTGCCAAGAAAACAGGTTTCAAGCAGTAAGAGGGTGAAGAGGGATGGGGTGTGGTAAGACAGGAGTACCAACCCTCACCCTGCTTACCACACATACACCTGAATGTCAACCACAAACATTCCGGAAACCTACATCTGCAGGGAAAATATTTCAGTTTTCAAAACAACGGTCATTACTAGAGAAGATCTAACCCCAAAAGAGCAACTCATTCAGGTAAAAGAATGGGAATTCCTGAGTCAGTGTAAGGAGAAAAACAACAAAGGAAAAAATGATTAGTAACCCAGAAACATTTTCTTAATATAATTAGGATGACTCATGTCACTGAAGGCAGGGTTCTCAACCCGACCTGCACATTTGAATCACCTGGATGGCTTTTAAAAATCCTGACTTACACCCTAAAATTACAAAACACTTTTCAAAGAAATTAAAGAAGACCTAAGTAAATGGAAAGACATCCCATGTTCATGGATCAGAAGACTTAGTGTAAAGATGACAGTACTCCCCGAATTAATCTACAGATTCAATGCAATCCTTCAAAATTCTAGCCGGCTTTTTTGCAGAAATTGACAAGCTCATCCCAAAATTCATATATAAATGCAAAGGACCCAGAATCTAGCCAAAACAATCTTGAAAAAGAAGAACAAAGTTGGAAGACTCCCACTTCCCAATTTCAAAACTTACCACAAAACTATAGTAACCATGACAGTGTGGTCTTGGCCTGAGGACAAAAGTATGGATTATGGAATCAACCCGAGAGTCTAGAAATAAAGCCTCACTTTTATGGTCAATTCATTTTTGACAAGGGCATGAAGACAATTTAATGGAGAAATAGTCCTTTCAACAAATAACACCAAGACAACTGGATATCCATGTGCAAAGAATGTTGGCTCCTTCTTTACACCGTGCCCAAAATTAATGCAAAATGGATCACAGACCTGAATGTAAGAGCTAAAATTCTAAAACTCTTAGAAGAAAACAGGAGTAAATCTTTGTGACCTTTAATTAGGCAAAGTGTTCTTAGACACGACACCAAAAGCATAAGCAACAAAAGAAAAATTAGACCTCATCAAAATTGAGAACTTTTGTACAAAGAACACCATCAAGAAAGGGAACAGAGAATGACAAAATGGAGAGAAAATATTTGCAAATCATATATCTATAAGGGACTTGTATTTAGATATATAAAGAATTCCTACAACTCAATAAAAAAATACAAATAGTCTAATTAAAAAATGGGCAAAGAGGGGCTGGCCCAGTGGTGTATCGGTTAAGTTCGCACACTCTGCTTCAGCAGCCTGGGGTCTGCAGGCTCGGATCCCAAGCGCAGACCTATGCACCACTTATCAAGCCATGCTGTGGCGTCGTCCCATATAAAGTAGAGGAAGATGGGCATGGATGTTAGCCCAGGGCCAATCTTCCTCAGCAAAAAGAGGAGGATTGGCAATGGATGTTAGCTCAGGGCTAATCTTCCTCACAAAAAACAAAAAAATCAGGGCAAAGATTCTGGGGCCAGCCCGGTGGCGTAGCAGTTAAGTTCTCACGGTCCACTTTGGCCGCCTGGGGTTCGCTGGTTCAGATCTTGGGCATGGACCTACGCACTGCTCATTAAGCCATGCTGTGGCAGCGTCCCACATACAAAATAGAGGAAGATGGGCACAGACGTTAGCTCAGGGCTGATCTTCCTCAGCAAAAAGAGGATTGGCGATGGATGTTAGCTTAGCGCCAATCTTCCTCACCAAAGAAAAGGGCAAAGATTCTGAATAGCCATTTCTCCAAAGATACACTAATGGCCAATAAGCAGAAGAAAATATGCTCAACATCTTAGCTTATCAAGGAAATGCAAATCCAAACCAAAATGAGGTGCCACTTCACACCCATCAGCACAGCTAGAATCAGACAAACAAAAGAATGCTGTGAGGATGTGGGGAAATTGAAATCCTCCTATACTTCTGGTAAATGTAAAATAGTGCAACTTCCTAGGCAAACAGTCTGGCAGCTCCTCAAAAGATCAAACACATAAGATCACCATAAGACCCAGCAACTCCATCCTGAGGTATACACTCAACTCAAGAGAAATTAAAACACAGCTTTACACAAAAACTTGTACACAAGTGTTCAGAGCATTATTCATAACGGCCAACGTGGAAACAGCCCAAATGTCCATCAACTGATGAATGGATAAATAAAATGTGGTTTATCCATACAATGGATTATTATTCAGCCATATAAAGGAATGAAGTCCTGGCACATGCTATCACATGGGTGAACCTTAAGAACATTAATGCCAAGTGAAAGAAGCCAGCCATAAAAGACTACATATTGTATGATTCCGTTTATATGAAATATCCAGAATAGGCAGATGTATAGGATAGGCTTAGTGGATCCCCAGGCCTGCGGAAGGTTAGGGAAATAAGGAGTAACTATAATGGGTATGGGGTTTCTTTTTGGGGTGGTGAAAATGTTCTAAAATTGATTGTAGTGATTGATTGCACAACTCTGTGAATATACTAAAAACCACTGAAGTGTACTTTAAATGGATGAATCATATGGTATGTTAATTATCTCAATAATGACACCCAGCCCGTCTCCCAGATTCTGAATTAAGTAGAAGTGGGGCCTTGGCATCAATATCTTTTAAAAGTTCCCAAAGTGATTCTGTTAAGTGAGCCAAGCTGAGAGCCTCTGACCCAAGGAGAGAGGGGAGGGGGAAAACAAAACAAAACAACACTACTCATACCTCCTGGGGATCCACCACACAGTAGTGATATAGATACTGGTCCACATAGAGTCCAGTAGCTGCAGGTGTATAGAACTGGTTGCAGAGGGCATATATTTGTGCACTGTAGAGAGACCCAGAAGCCTGGGCAGTCGGGTTGACTCCCATTATATAGACAATCGTGGCAATAAACACCATGATGCCCAGGATGGCACTCACAATTATCACCGTCAAGTAATATCTTCTTGTTCTAGACATTTCAGATCTTATAACGCTGGTAACAAATATTGCCAACGCAGCAATGAAACAAAAGGCAGCCATGGCCAGGAGGAAGCCCTTGGCCGCTCTTGGATCTGTATAGGCTCCATAGCCATAACTGTAGCCATAACCATAGCCATAGCTACCAAAGCCACTTCCTCCATACGGGTAGCCTATGCTACCTCCCAGTAAGGAAGATCCATAGCTTCTGTCCCAGGCCAGTGTGGAGGCGACACAGGCAAAGATGGCAATGCACATCACGATGATGAGCATAGACAGGATCCGAATCACTCCTGGAGGAGAAGTCCACTTGTAGAAGTGCAGAATTTCATCCTCTGGGTAGAAAGAATACGCTGGCTGAGACAGCATTGGTCGCACATGCATCTCTCCACCATATATGTCATTGCTTGGTGCATAATGGTTGGGTTTGCTGAAATGCACATGAAAACAATGTCAAAAGTTAGCACTTTCTGACACTAAGCGGAAAGAACATAGCAAGTACTTGGAAAAACTTAAGCCATTGGCAAATAAAACTATTATTAGTACTGCCCCACAGCAATAGGGCAATTTGTGTCCTCCCCCTAAATTCAAATGTCAAAATCCTAACCCCAATATGATGGTGTTAGGAGGTGGGGCTTTGGGAGGAAATTAGGTCACGAGGGTGGAGCCCTCATGAATGGGATTAGTGCCCTTGTAAAAGAGACCCAGAGAGCTCTCCCACCCCTTCTGCCACGTGAGGACAAATGAGAAGTCAGCTGTCTGCGAGCTGGAGGAGGGCCCTCACCAGAACCTGACCCTGCTGGCGCCTGATCTCAGACCTTCAGCTTCCAGAACTGTGAGAAATACGTTTCTGTTGTTGATAAGCCACCCAGTCTGGTACTTTGTTACAGCAGCCTGGACTGATTCCGACTCCACTGAACAGTAAAGGTATCTATGCGTCAGAGTCACTGGGAAGCTTTGTTAAAACAGAGACTGTCAGCCCCCATCCCCAGATCTGCTGATTCTGAAGCTCTGGGGTAGGACAAGCTCCCGGATGCTGCTGAGCTGCAGGTCTGGGAACCATACACTGGGAATGACTGCTCTGGTTTCTATAGGACAGAGGTTCTCAAATTTGCTGCATATCAGCATCCGCTGGGGAATGTATACAGTCAGCAGCCCCTGGGGAAAGCACTATGGATGGAGACTCCACACCAGCTAAATCGTGACCCCTGGGGCTGGGACCCACGCAGTTTAGAACAACGGTGACAACCCTGCTGCCTGTGACCTGAGACTGGTGCGTTCACAGACGACACCTACACCGGTCTTCCCAGGGTCACGTGCAATTCCTGGCAGCCTGGCTTTTCCATCTAACAAAGCACATTCGTTCATTTACTCATTTGACTCCAGCCCTTTACCAGAGCGGGCAGGCTGACGTGTGCGGGGCACGGTGCTGGGCCCAGGGACACAGCAATGAACAGGACGGCCTGAGCACAGGCCCCTCCCATAGCTGTCGGGCAGTAAGACATTAAACCAACACTACCCGAGGTACAGTTAGTCGTGGCGAGAGCCGTCCAGTACCTCAGGTCTGCAGGGAGGGCCCAGCGGGGGGAGGCCTGCCCGAGTGGATCTTAAATCTCCTTTATGAAAACACCCTGCCGACTCAGTAACTTCATCATAAGTACACGGCTGGGGACAGACGTGTGGACACAGTGACTCTAAGAACTGCGGGTCCTGAGGAGGCAAAATTCAATTCCAAACCCAAACCAGCTACTTGTGTTTTTGCCATCATTTCCACAGATCTCCTTCCTCACTCCAAAGCAGGACGTCTCATGACTGGGTGCCACTAACTATGGGAAGTCCAAGAAAGTACCCGAGTGAATGAAAGGAGAAACTGGAGAGAATGCTGATAAGCTGGTCTTTGAAAATGTCAAGGGTGAAATTCCACAACCCCTCCACTCAGATATGTGGGCTGTCTCTGTTCAGGGCGGTCGTGAACAGTGTAGCTCTGAATATCCGTGAACGTGTTATCCTGGTACACAAGCACTTATTCTTCTAGGATATAGGCCCAGAGGTGGGATTTCTGGGTCAAAGTTTTTTATCTTTAGCTCTCCAAGACAATGTCAAACTGTTTTCCAAAATAAGTGTATCACTTGTACTCCCATTAACAGTGTAACGTTCACAGAAGCATTGCTTAGGATAACCCCAACCTGGAAACAGTTTCAATGTCGACCTACAGTGTAACAGGTAACTGTGACAAATCTGCACAATGGAATGCCACAGAGCTGTGCTGTCTAATACGGCAGCCACAGCCACATGGATTGACTGAGCACTTGAAATGAGGCTGGTCCAAACTGAGATGTGCTGCTAAGTACAAGATACACAGTATCATAGTATGAAAAGATGTAACACCACCAAGAGAGAAGGCTAATATTAACCATGGACTTGGGGTAATAATGATGTGTTGATGTAGGTTCCTCAATTGTAACAAATGTACCACTCTGGTGGGAGATGTTGACAATGGAGGAGGCCGTGCATCTGTGGGGCAGGGGGCATATGGGAAATCTCTGTACCTTCTGCTCAATTTTGCTGTGAACCTAAAACTGCTCCAAAAAATAAAGACTATAAAAAAAAAGAATGTCAACTATCTCATGAGTCAGTGTTTATATCAATCACATGTTGAAATAATATTTTGGATCTATTGGGTTAAGTGAAATATATTATTAAAGTTAATTTCTTCTTTTATTTGTAATGTGATTACAAGAAAACATAAAATTACATGTATGGCTCGCATTATATTTCTATAGCACTGCTCTGAAGCAAAAAATGAACTACAAATACATGCAGATAAATCCTATAAGTGATGCTGAAAGAAACAAGACAGAAAAGGATATACACAGCCTCTTACATTCACGCAAGGTTTAAAAAAAAGTAAAACTAAATTGTATTGCCTAGGATGTATACAGTGATGAAATAATAGAGAGAAGCAAGGGATGACCCTATGTCACCAAAGTGGTTCCAGGGAAAAGAGAGGACACAGGGAAGGCCTTTGAAGTGTTCTGTTCCTGACCTCGGTGACTTGGTGACCTCTCTGCTTTGTATTCATCCTTCCGCACGCACCCTCCTTGCCCCTTCCTGTGTGTGTGCTATATTGCACCACTGTTCACAAAAGCAACACAAAGTAAGTACCAGGTAAACGGAGCACTACTCAGTCACTGTATTCTCCAGCGTATTTTAAGGACCACGTTGTCATCAACAATGTCCCTACCACGTTCAGGTATCAGTCAGGGGCTGCACAGTAGGAATGCAACCCCTACTGCAGGTATTAGAGTTTAAGCTACAGACTACTTAAAGGAGAGAGCATCAACATTTGATAGCAAACTTAAAATTTAAGAATTCATTGCTAAATCCCCAAATGACTAAGGACACCAAGTACCCTCAATTTTGCTTCTTGTTTTATATAACGGCAGGAATCACTCTTAAAATTGACAGTATGGAAACCATTATGCTAAGTGAAAGAAGTCAGCCACAAAAGACCACATATTGGATGATTCCATTTATATGAAATGTCCAGAACAGTCAAATCCAGAAACAGAAAGTGGATTGGTGTTTGCCTAGACCTGGGGGAAGTGGGGAGTGACTGCTAACGGGTAGGGGTTTCTCTGGGGAGGGGTGATGAAAATGTTCTAAAACTGATTGTGGTGATGGTGACACACTCTGAATATACTAAAACCACTGACCTGTCCATTCTAAATGGGTGAACTGTATGGTGTGTGAATTATATTTCAATAAAGTTACCATTTAAAAAATTGACAATATATTGCCAACGATCACGTAAACAAGGCATTATTATGGAAGCCTCATACCATCTGTGAAAAACAAAGAGGAATAAATACAATACAAATATAAGCCTTGACTATATTGAAGCAAACATTAAAAACAGGTGACAACAGTTGCCTCTGCAGAGAAAAACCATCACCCTAGAAGCTGAGGGTAAGAGGGAAACTCACTTCTCACTGTGTACCCTTCGGTTCAATTTAAATTTACAAAGGCACATTTTATTTTTAAAAGCAAACAGACACTTAGATGAAAGTTTCAACTATACATATTGTTTACATGTCACAGACTTAAAAAAAAAAAAAAGAAAGAAAAAACTAAAGAATTATTTACTTACAATTCATCAGGTCTATAAGGAGGTGGACTTTCAAAAGGCCTCGATGACATGGCTGATGTCAATGGTCACCCGATCTTCAGGATGAGCAATGCCTCGCAGCTCCCAAGATAATCGATCTAAGCAACACGAGGAGGGTAATGGCATTACTCCGGAGCTCAGAGTTTCCTTGCATCACTCAGAAAACTAACGATACCAATCTCAGGTAACCTCTCCCGCCTCGCGTACTGCTCTGGTCCCTCCACTGCCACTGTCCCACACTGGGCCGTTAATTCCTTGAGCACAGGAATCATCCAGCTGGGCGGTCCTCTCGGCACCTGGCATCTGCACATCACTGCCAGACAAATACTGTTTAAACCTGAAACTCCAAGTTGCGGTAATGAAAATTTCACAAAGCTTTTACAGCATAGGTAAAAATGGTATTTTTTAAAACAGTCACTTCAAAGAACAACGAAGATGTGTAAAAGGAAAGAAAATTTCTTAAAATATATTGTTTCTGGAATTCTACTCAGCCATAAAAAAAGACAAAATTGTCCCATTTGCAACAACATGGATGGGCCTCGGAGGTATTATGTTAAGTGAAATAAGCCAGAAAGAGAAAGACAAACACTGTATGATCTCACTCATATGTGGCATATAAACCAACACATGGACAGAGAAAACTGTATTGTGGTTACCAGGGGCAATGGGGGTAGGGGGTGGGCACAAGGGGTGAAGGGAGACATATATATGGTGATGGACAAACAAAAATGCACAACCCAAAATTTCACAATGTTATAAAATATTAAAGCATCAATAAAAAAATACATATTGTTTCATATTACTTATGAAAGTTCATGTAAAATGAGAATGTGTATGAAAGTGCATAGATAGCAGGTCCAGCACATCCTAGCTGGACCTCAGTGTTAATTTAAGTATCATCTGGTTTAAAAGTACGCCTTTATCATTAGAAATGATTACCAAATGCATCTATAAATGGTGGGATTATGGGCATTTTTCCCTTTTCTCCTTTTCCAAGCCTTCAAAATTGAGCATAATTTTTACGTTAAGCATACGTTGTATTAAAGAGGCCTCTTCTCTAAGAGAAAAGCAGAATGATTTTGTTCTAAAATTCCTCCGAGCAAAAGTCCCTCAACACCTGAGGCAATTTCGCTCAGTCAACAGGTACTGACTACATGCCCACACTCTCTACGAAGGAGCCCACGGAGTGGAGGGCGGGACACAGCGCTCCGGGGGCTCACACACAAAGAAACAGCAGCTCCAACAGGCATTATTTAGGGCGGAACCACATGCTCAAGTGCAGTCTGGGGATAAGGGGAAGGCAGAGAGGAGAGGCGGCAGCTGGGGGGCGGGGGGGGGGGGGGGGGGGAGGAAGGACACGTGAGCAAGATCTATAATCTGAGTGTATTCAGGGTCTCATATCTTTTCCCTTTCAAATAAGGTCTGTGCAATCGTACAGTGCTACGTCAGGACAGTAAATCAACCCAAACTCTTTAAACTTTGTTCTTTAAAATCAATGGCAACTATCCTCCACATCCTTAAGGGCAGTCAATTCCAAATTTCTTAGAATAAGATATTGCCCAAATATACATTAGGTAAAACCTCAAAGATGCAAATATATTGAATGTTAATAATGCCAACACAATTAGCCCAATTTTCCAAACATAGTGAGGAAAGGCAACTTCTCTACATTCGTTTATTTTTAAAAACTGCTTTCCTGAAGTATAACATACAGAAAAGTGCACCAACAGTAAGTGTATACAGCTCTGTAACGAGCACCCAGATACACACATAAATGAGCAATTAAGGCCAAACTGGTACATCACTATGAAAGTACAGATTAAGTGTCTTCCTAATTAACGTTCAGAAAGAAACATTAAGAAAAACTGAAATTAAACACTATTCAATGTGGGACCCTATTTCTGAAGCTGAATGTCAAATACTGACAAAGTGACCTCAGAAGAACCTTATCCTTCCACAGCCAGGGCTCACGCACTCAAGATTATGGCAAAAACTCCAGTCTCCATAGAAGGTTTTGAAAATTCTAAATTAATCCAGACACGGTCTAAAGTTTAAGTTTTGTCAAAAGTCCAGACAACAAAATCCCTTTCCAAGCTGCTACTTCCTGGCCTCAGTTTAGCTGTCCTGTCTCCTCAAAGAGCAGAGATTTTAAATTGTGACACAAATAATTTTAGAAAGGTCCTTAAGAACAAGTCACACCACAAGAACCGCACTTCCTTTCTTGAGAAGGTTACCAGACCGGCAAAGGAAGGGCGTGCGGAGAGATTCCTGAGGATCTTGAGCACATCCCCGTGTAGCAGTGTGGCTGGGCAGCTTCCTAGGGGCTGAATAATGGAACCTAATTAGGACGAAAGAATGGACCATTCATGCCCACCGGGAGGAGGCCTCTAGCAGTGACCAGACAGGGTAGACAAGCTGATCCAGACGTGCAGCTGACAAACACTGGACAGGATGACTGACCTGCTGGCGATGAGGACTCAGCACTGATCACGTCCTCTGGAGGCCTGAAGGACGGCTAAAACAAATCCAGTGGTTTTAACCGCTCACAATCTGAGAGGACAAGGTCCTCACCTTCTCTAAGCATCACGACCCGCGCCTGTCAAAGGGGGGTGATCCTGACCCCTGGGCTGGGACAGGAAGTGAGATAATGTATTAGCGAACATGAGCAAAGCAGTCACAGCGAGGTGGTATCCTGAAGGTGAGAAAGTTCAGGGTTTAGGCACGTAGGGATATCATACCCATTTCCAAATACTGGTGGCATGAATTTTTAAAATGTAAACTCAAAAAAATTAGTAGAGGGGCAGGCCTGGTGGTGTAGTGGTTAAGTGCGCGCCCTCTGCTTCGGCAGCCCGGGGTTCACAGGTTCGGATCTCGGGCGCCGACCAGTGCACCACTTGCTGAGCCGTGCTGTGGCAGCATCCCATGTAAAGTGCAGGATGACAGGCACAGATGTCAGCCCAGGGCCAGTCTTCCTCAGCAAAAAGAGGAGGATTGGCAACAGATATTAGCTCAGGGCTGATCTTCCTCACACACACAAAAATAAATAAAAACTTAATAGAGGACAGCCACATGCAAAGGAATAAAACTAGACCCCATCTTACACGACCCACAAAAATTAACTCAAAATGGATCAAAGACTTGAATGGAAGACCTAAAACCATAAAACTTGTAGAAGAAAACACAAGCAGTACACTCTTTGACATCAGTCTTAGCAGTATCTTTTTTTGTGTGTGAGGAAGATCAGCCCCGAGATAACATCCGTTGCCAATCCTCCTCTTTTTGCTGAGGAAGACTGGCCCTGAGCTAACATCCGTGCCCATCTTCCTCCACTTTATGTGGGACGCCGCCACAGCATGGCCTGACAAGCGGTGCGTCAATGAGCGCCCAGGATCTGAACCCGGGCCGCCAGCAGTGGAGTGTGCGCACTTAACCGCTACGCCACGGGGCCAGCCCAGCAGTATCTTTTTGAATATCATGTCTCACCAGGCAAGGGAAACAAAAGGAAAAATAAACAAATGGGACTACATCAAACTAAAAAGCCTCTGCACAGCAAAGGAAACCATTAACAAAATGAAGACAACCTAACAATAGGGGGAAGATATTTACAAACCATATATCCGACAAGGGGTTAATACCCAAAATATATATAGAACTCACACAACTCAACAACAAAAAATTCAATTAAAAAATGGGCAGAAGATCTGAACAGACATTTTTCCAAAGAAGCTATATAAATGGTCAACAGGCACATGAAAACATGTTCAACATCACTAATTATTAGGGAAATGCACATCAAAACTATGAGATATCACCTCATGCCTGTTAGAATGGCTATTATTAAAAAGACAAGAAATAACAAGTGTTGGAGAAGACGTGGAGAAAAGAGAACTCTGATACACTGCTGGTGGGAATGCAAACTGGCGTAGCCACTATGGAAAACAGCATGGAAATTCCTCAAAAAATTAAGAATAGAACTACCATATGATCCAGATATTTCACTTCTGGGTATTTACCCAAAGAACACGAAAACACCAGTTCAAAAAGATATATGCACCTCTATGTTCATTGCTGCATTATTCACAATAACCAAGACTTGGAAACAACTTAAGTGCTCATCAATACATGAATGGATAAAGAAGATGTGGTGTATAGATGTGTGTGTATATGTATAGATATATATATATAAAAGAATACTACTCAGCCATAAAAAAGATGAAATCTTGTCATTTGCAACAACACGGATGGACCTTGAGAGCATTATACTAAGCAAAATAAGTCAGACGGAGAAAGCCAAATATCATATGATTTCATTCGTAAGTGGAAGATAAACACATAGATACGGAGAACAGACTGATGGTTATGAAGGGGGTAGGGGGAGAGCGAAAGGGGAAAAGGGGCAGATGTGTACAGCGAGGGATGGAAACTAGACTTTGGGTGGTGAACACAATGTAGTCTACACAGAAATCGAAATATAACGACATACTCCTGAAATTTATAGAACGTTATAAACCAATGCTACCTCAATTAAAAAAATTTAAAACAAAATAAAATTAATATAAGTACTGGCTAAGGGAGATCTGGCTTAAGAGCTGTTCATTTTCACAAGCGCATTTCCTTGGTGAGAATTTCAACAAAAGCTAACAAGCTATTCCAAACCTGGGCAGTATTCACAAAGATGGTGCTTAGATCCAGGAAAGACACAGTTATCAAAAAAATGAACCCTTGCATCACCCTGAAACTTGTACATCATGTTCCCACCAGGTGCCTCCCCAGAAGTGTGACTAAGATTGTCAGGGATCTAGAAAAACCTTGTCCTAAGACAAATGATTGGGAAAACAGGAAATGTTTGGCCTGGAGAACTCAACATCAGAAGACCCACTAAGGCAGCCTTCAGATCTGGGGGCTGTCTTTGCAGTCCTAGAAACGGTTCTGTGAGAAAACAAAACACCACAGGTCAGCTTTCACCCCAATGTTACGAAGTCTCCGCATCACCCTGACCCCACACACCCTCTAAAAATAACAAAAAACTTGACCTCATGCCATGTATGCAAAGCTTCAGTTGTCTGGTATTTGGGGGGCCTGGGCTGGAGGACTTCTAAGGTCTCTTTCAAGGCAGCCCGTGACTGTGCATTAAGATCCCAGCAAAAGGAGAAAGAGGACCCAGAAGAGACTGTTGTCCAGTGCCCAGTACAGCCACATGAACATTATCTGGTCAATAAATAGATGCTGAGCGAAGGGAAAAATAAAATGAGGAGTGAAAAGGCCTGAGGGGGCACTGGTCACCTTCACAGAACCTGTGTCATGAGAGCAACAGAGACACAGTCAAACAGCTGAATCAGAGTCAGGGGCAAAGGGAAGCAGCAGACCCTTGTTGAGTATGTTAAGCTGCAAGTCAGCTAAGGTTAAAATATAAAAAAAGTTGTCCCCTTGAAAATGTTTACTGGTCAAAAGCTGTCTTCATAGAAAACCAGGTTAAGATGAAAAAGAAAAGCCTGTAAATGCTATGCTTCAAAATTATTCTTTAAAGCAAGCTGTCAGTAAGTAACAAATGAACTTGACGCTATTAAGGGGAGGCTGTTCCTCTTTGATCACATGCAGCAATAGTTAATTTGCTTTCAAGAAGTTGTTTAAGTTGTGTCTGATATTAAATGGTTCTATCTAGATCACAGGTGCATCATTAGTAAAGTGCCTAAAATTCTGAAATTGAGCAGATTTTGAAACAGACTAGCTATGTGTCAGAATGTGCATTTTAAATAAATTCTTCAGAATCCTCTTAAGCACACCACATATTTTGAGAATCACTGCCTAGAATAAAGGCGTCAATCAAGGAGGGCCCTGATCCTGTGGGCTGCCTGTCTGGAATGCCCAGATCTTTACATGACAGGTGCCTGCTGCTGTTCCCATCTCAGCTCAAATGTCACCTCCTCAGAGATGCCCTCCCAGTCACTCACTCCATCTACCAAACCTGTTTGATTTTCAGAGCAAATGTCCCCCCTAACTAAATTATTTTTCCTTCTTTCTTTTTTAACTGCCACCATCTCCATCCCAACTGGAACACCAGCTTCACAAGCACTTAGAGGTCCATCTTGACCGTCAGTGTAATTTCTGATCCCTAGAACTAGTCCCCGGTACCAAGTGATATCAGTCAATATTTGATTCATAAAACCAACAGTCCACACCGAAGTTGGACAGAGCTGGGATTTCAATCCAGTGGTGAATGCCTTGAAGTTCTTCATACAGCTAACACTCAGCAAAAACATTCTTTCAAGTTAAACTCAACAAAAGTAGTTAAGTGCTGACAGTCTGAGGAAGAGGAGAGAAAAAGGACAGAGAGCTCACCGTGTGGGCGCCACCTGGGAGCGTGTGAGGAAGGAAGAGTCCCAGGCCCCCCCCCGACCTGGGAACCTGCTGATTCACACCACAATCAAGAGTGGGGAGCACCAGGTTTCAGAACAGCCACAACCCAGAGGCTAAAACAAAAAGTATAACAAAAATCCGCATGGCCTTCTTCCCCTAATATTTCCATAAATAATAGTGTGGGTGAAAAAAGCCCACTAAATATTCTCATCAAGTAAGCCTTGAAATGCAACTGAAGAAAACTTCCCCCTGGGAGCTTCCTGGGAGGCTGAGAGATTATATCTGTTAATTGACGTGGTAAAAGTAATCTATCATTTTCACAGGGCGATAATTCCAACATTATCTTTAGAAGAAAACAGGAGTAATTTCACTTTTACGTCAAGCAAGACGCAGAAACCTTATCCGAGGCCATAGGGACTAGCCAAAGGTAGAGCGCTCCAGAAACACTGCCCCAGTCGGGCTCTGTGCTGGAACACCAAGGGCTGCGCTTCTCTCTAACACACCCTCCCTCAAGAGCCGAGGGGTCCGAGCCGGCGCATTTCTCACATGCTCCCCTAAAGCGCTTCCTCGCCTTTAAAATGGAGTTCCAATAAGATCCACCTGTTAGAGTTGCTGGGCTGATTAAACGACATCAAGTGCAAACGCTCTTAGCACAGCGCCCCGCACACAGGACCACTGCCCGGCATCTCCCTGAACAGCCTGGAAGCTGCCCAAGGCTCCTCTCCTCCTCCCCATCACCTGACGAAGGAGGCACCTAATAACTAAACAAATGCAAAACTACAAAAATCAGAAGTGTTGCTCCGTCTGAGGAGGCATCTATTACTGTTGCGCCACCATTTAAACTATTTTAAAAACCCAGAAAGAGAAACTAAACATTCATATGGACAGCGCAAAAGAAACACTGTTGCACTTGGGAATGCGAAGTTTGAGAAATCTACGTGCGTCTAGAAACAACCAGTTTTCAACCACGGCAAGAATCACCGGAAGTGCCTTAATGGCAAGAATTCTCTTTTCCAGGAATCCCAATAATACACCTACCTGTTGTGCGTTAGGGCCACACGCTGACCTGGAAGGCTGCCTCCTCCCCGCCCCGGATCATTGCCCGGGTGGGCAGTCTGCCCAGCCAGCCCCGCGGCCGGCCTGAGGATGCCCTGGCTTCTCCTCGGGCTCAGGCGCTTCTCCGGGGACACGAGGGGCTCGGACCCGCCCTTCCAGCCCCGGGTGCAGAGGCCACCACGCCCTCCACCCAGCTGTCCCGGCCTGCAGGCCGCGCGCGGGGCCGGCCCTTCCCCGGTCTCCAACCCCGCGGCCGCCGGGCAGAGCCGAGTCCGCGCCGACCGGGGCCGCCCGAGGCAGGGCCGCCCCCCTCGCGGCGGCCTCGCGGTCACGGCTGAGGATCCGGAGCGGGAGCCGCTTCCTCGAAGTCCTGCGGCCTCACTGGACGTTCGCTCCCCGCCCCCAGCTTCAACCCGCGCGCCCGCACAACCCCCACCAAGTGCACTCGAAACAACCGCCGGGCCCCGCAGGACTCCAGGCTACTTCCCGGATTAAACCCGCCACCCTCTCCCCCGGGAGACGCGAAGGGGTGGGGTGGGGTCGGGAATGGTGAGGGCCCCCGGGGCCAGCTGCCCCGGCCGGCGAGCGGCCCCCTCGCTCCACCCCGCGCTCAAGACCCCGCGGAGCCCCCCGAACTGCAGCGGGGCGCTGAGCGCAGGATCCTCGCTGCGCGCGAACCTCCGCCCCGTAGGAGCGAGAAGCGGCCCGCGCCGCCGAGGCACCTGCAGCTCCGCGCGCTTCGGCCGAGGGAGCTGATGGGCGGCTCCGGACGGCCCCTCGAAGGAGGCAGCCCCCCAGGCAGTCCAGCGCCGCTCCCCCCGGGCCCGCGCGTCCCAGCCCCGAAGAAGCCGCCCCCGAAACCAGCCCCCCCGCAGACAGCGCCCCGGCGCCGCCCCGCTCACCTGCTCCCCGCGGCCGGCCCGACCCACCAGAGACGGCGGGAGCGAGGAGCACGCTCACCTGACGGGCACACCTGACGCTGTGCGGGCCGCCGGCACGTAGCCCGGGACCCGGCTAGGGACCCAGCCCTCCTCCCCCTCTCCCTACTCCTTCCCCCACCCCAGCCGCCCGGCCCCCGGGCATGCGCACCAGCGCCAGGCCCAGGTGCAGGAGGTCCGCGCCCCGCGCCCCACCTGCCGCGCCCCAGCTGGTCTCCCCGAGTCCCGCCGCCTCCGCAGAAGAAGGAGAACGGGGAGGTGGACGCTGGCGAGGAGGTGGTGTGGCGTGGCCGCCTCCTCCCTCGGTGACCCCTTCACCTGAAACTCGGACGGGAGGGGCAAGGAGCGGAGGCGGCGGCGGGGGAACCGGCCCTCTCCGCACACCCGGCCGCGCGCCCAGTTAAAGGCGCAGCGCCGCGTTCCGGCCCGAGGGGCGGGCCCGAGCGCAGAGAGGCGGCTCGGCTACCCGGGGCGGGGTGGTCCTGGACCCCTGGCGCGCGCTCCGGGCTCCGCGGGTCAGGTGGAGCCGTGGAGGGCTTGGCGAGTGAGGTCTGCCGGGGACTGTTTCCCTCCCGAAGAGTGTCCTAGGGCGCGCAGTGCTTGGGCGAGGCGGGCGCGTCCTCACACACTTTCCTGCTCCAAAAATTTGGTTCAAGTTTTGTTGGAAAGAAGCATCCAGGTGTGGGAGATTTTCAAAAGTCATGCGTAAATTTAGGAACTAGATCCAGGAAAAAGACCATTACTTAGAGTGGTTAAATGAAGGTGAAGTACTGTAGATATTGGTGTCCGTAAATTTGCCATTGAAATGAAGTACATACTACAGTATACGTTATTACCACCTCGGAGTCCTCAGCCCCCTCCTCAAATTCAACTATGGTATGATCGAGACTCGGCTCTTGGGGGGACTTCTATGTTAACATTCTCTTTGGCTTAAAAAAAAAAACTCTAGATGTGTGTGCTATGTTCTATTTCTTGATCTGGAGGCTGGTTTCAAAGAAGTGTTTATTTAGGAAAATTAGTAGTCTACACTTAATACATACACTTTTCTACATGTACATTGTATTTCAATGTGCATTTTTTAGTTATGCTCCAGAATGTGGCAGTTTTAGTTCTCGCAATTTAACCATCTGCACTGAAGGCTAGAATTCAGGTTTCTTAAATCCCTTTTCACTTTGCATTCCACCCTGGAATGTCAGCATTGCTAATAAATTTCTGTCCACTCCACTTCTCTGCCTTTAATTAAGTGATTAGAAATGTGACTCTCCCATATATTAGATCTCAGGGCATAATTCAATACTTACGGAAGTAAAAGCATTATATAAATATAAGGTATTTTAAACCATGACTGCCTTAATGGGCAATTAATCTAATTGGTATTTTTTTCATGGAAGTCATTGCTACAATTATTTTAAAATGACTGTGTAGTTTTGAATGATGCAGTTTAAATTGGTGTTGTTAACACCAGGGAAGTTGGGTTAATCCTCGTAGTCTTCCTGTCAGATTGCTGAAATCTCCAAACATTCCACTCAGTTTATAATTAAACAGGGAACATTTCCTAATACTCTCAGATTTATAAACACATGTCTATTATTTTATGGTGTACTATGACATGTTCTGAAGAGGAGAACTTAGAGTTTTTCCCCACTTTTTTTACATTGAAATACATTTCACATACCATAAAATTCACCAGTAATTTTGAAGTGTACATACAAGTCAGTGGTTTTTAGTATGTTTACAAGGATGTACAACTATCACCACTACGTAAGTCCAGAATACTTTCATCATCCCCAAAGAAGCCCTGCATCCATTCACAGTCACTCCCCACTTCCACGTGCCTCCAGACCCTGGCAACCACTAACCTACTTTCTGCCTGTATTGATTTGCCCATTCTGGACATTTTACATGAGTGGATAATACAATATGTGGCCTTCTGTGTCTGGCTTCTTTCGCTTAGCATAACGTTTTCAAGGATCATTCCTGTTGTAGTACCTACCAGTGCTTCATTCTTTTCATGGCTGAATAATATCCCATTGCATGGATAGACCACATTTTGTTTAAACTTTTATCAGTTGATGGACATTTGGGTTATTTCCACTTTATGGCTATTATGAATAATGCTGCTATGAATATTCATGTACAAGTTTTTGTGTGGATGTATATTTTCAATTCTCTTGGGTAAATTAGGTCTTTTAATTAACCTTTTTATCATTTTAAGAGACTAACATGCATACCACATTATTTTTCTTATTCACACACTAAACCTAAACCCAAAGGCATGTGGTGTTGGGATGGAAGGTTTGGTACCATATTATATTTGCATTCCTTCAACAACTGTTTACTGAGTGCCTACCACCTGCTAAGTAGTGAAAAAAAACCCCAAAATCCCTGTCTTAGGGGAGCTTACTTTCTAGTTACTGCTGAAAGTATGCATAAGTCTTGGTGATTTAACGCGTCATCGCTGTATCCCGGCTGCTAGGAGCCGCCCCTGTCACAGAGTTCTGCCATGAGCCCTTGTGGGATGAGCGAGGGAGTGTGGCCCTGGTCCCCACTCCGACGGCCTGTGGAGCCATCCCTCAGACAGCCTCCGGCTTGGCGAGACCGCACGTCCCTTCACAGGGGCTTCCGGCTCTAGTGCTGGGTCTTCCGGAAGAGAGAAGGAAGGTAGGCGATTTCCACTCGGCTTCCCTGTTCAGTGAGTGAATTCAGTGACTGGTGTTTGTTCAGGACGTCTGGCCAGGAGGGCTTCTAGTTGCCCCACCTGGTCTCGCAGGGAGGCTCCCAGTCCACAGAGGAGTTTTCGAGGCCAGGAGGCCAGAGGGGAGAGCATGGGTGTGAAGTGTGAGGAGGGCAGAGGTCAGCCCTCAGATGCCTCCTGAGTGTGGGTTTTCTTCAACCTGCAACAGGAAGGCCCTTCAGGGATTCGGGCATTTCATAGTGATAAATTTATGTTTTGAATTTTGTGGAGTTTTAAGTGTCAACCTAAACATTTTCCTGTTTTTTTAAATAATTTTTTTATAGAACTTGAGTATTTATCTTTAAAGTTTATAGCTTCTGAATAGAAGGGATTAAACTGATGAAGAGAGCCGGGGTGATCTGAAACCCAGTTGATAGGATCTTTGAGCAATATAAACGACTACTATTCATTTCCCTATGTGAATCTTGATTAGAAAAGTTGGCCTCTGGGCCTGAGAGGCACAAGATGCAGGGGACCAGAGAGGCAGATATGAGAGAAGCTCGCAATCACCTGGTTATTTTATTTTTCATGCTTTTTCTATGTTTTCTAAAATTTCTCAATGAACAAGCATATATTATTTTTGACAATTAGGAAAAAGATATGTTTTCATAACTTACTATGTTGGAAAATTCAAACCTATAGAAAAACTAAGAAAACAGCACAATGAACTATATTCTTCTAAATTTGCCAGTTAACATTGTCCACATTTGCTTGCTTTCTCACACACACACACACACACACGCGCGCACACGCACACACACACACACGAAATGTATAACTGGTATATATATATATATATATATATTTTTTTTTTTTTTCATGAGGAAGATTGGCCCTGGGCTAACATTCGTGCCCATCTTCCTCCACTTTATATGGGACGCCGCCACAGCATGGCTGATGAGTGGTGCGTTGGTGTGCGCCCGGGATCCAAACCAGAGAACCCCGATGCAGCGGAGCATGCACACTTAACATCTGCGCCACCGGGCCGGCCTCTGGTATATTTTTTTTGCTCAAACATTTACACTTTTTTTGGTTCTACCACTTAAAAGTCATGTGCAGAGATGATGACACTTCACCCTGCGTACTTCAGCGTGCATCTCCTAAGAACCGAGACACTCCCTGCGTCACTGCTGTCTTAGTTTGTGCTGCTACAACAGAATACCCTGGACTGGGTGGTTTAGCAATAACAGAAATTTATTTCTCAGAGTTCCGGAGACTGGAAGTCTGAGATCAGGGTGCCGGCAGGTCAGGTTCTGGTGAGGGCCCTCTTCTGGGGGCAGATGGCAGTCTTTTCCCTATGTGGTGGAGAGGGCAAGAGGGCTCTCTGGGGTCCCTTTTATAAGGGTCCTAATCCTATTCGTGAAGGCTCCACCCTTATGACCTAATCAGCTCTGCAAAGCCCCACCTCCTAATGCCATCACATTGGGGGTTAGCACTTCAACATACGAATTTTGGAGTGACACAAACATTCAGTCCACAACAACCACCATAACATTAACAAACCCCACAAAATTAATATTAATACATAATCTTATCTGATGTGCACAACATATTCACATTGCTCCGATGTCCCAAAAACGTTCTTTATGGGGCCAGCCCAGTGGTGTAGTGGTTAAGTTCGCATGCTCCGCTTCAGCGGCCCAGGGTTCATGGATTCGGATCCCGGGTGTGGACCTATGCAGTGCTGGTGAAGCAATGCGTGGTGGCGTCCCACATACAAAATGGAGGAAGATGGGCACAGATGTTAGTTCAGGGCCAGTCTTCCTTGAGCAAAAAGAGGAAGATTGGCAACAGATGTTAGCTGAGGGCCAATCTTCCTAACCAAAACAAAACATAACAAAGTCTTTTATGGTTTGTGGTTTTTTAATCGAGAAATCATGCATTTCATTGTCATGTCTCTTTAGTCTCCTTAATTCTTGAACAGTTTAATTGCCATTTTGTCATTCATGGCATTGATGTTTTTTAAAAGACTCTGGTCCAGTTGTCCTGTTGAGTGTCCCCAGTCTGGGTTACGTCTCCCTCACTATCATATTTAGAGGAAACACTGTTGGCAAGAGAACTCCAGCGGGGAGGCTGTGGCCTCCGCCCTCCATCACGTCAGGAGGCTGGGACTGTCGAGCTGTCCCAGGATGAGTGATGCTCAATTTGAATGTGGTGGTGGCCTCCAGATCCCCTCTTCCCTTTGTAATTCACGAGTATTCCATGGGGGTCTCTGATCCTGTGGACTACCTTCTTCCACAACAACCTCACATCCAACAAAAGCTTTCAGTGTCCAGGGCTGATTCTTGCCTAACTCAAGTATCATGTTGGTTGGTGCATAATGTTTTTTTCTAATACTATAAATATTAGTATCAACACTATCTAGTACTATCCAGGAAAAAAAACAAAGAATTTTTGTGTGAGAAAAAAAGGTGGAAGACATTCTAATTCATGAAATATTGGACTTACATGAAAAAATTTTCCTTTTGCTGATACACACTTTCTTTCTGTTTTGCCTTTAAGGAGTCAACCAGTTCCCTCACCTGCGCAATGTATGTGCAGCTCAGGAGGGTAGGTGCTGTGCGGAGAAATCACAACACACC